CTAAAAACAAATTTAACTTAAATTTGAAGAACTAAAATATATTTAAGTCAAAATTAAAATATTACAACTAAAATTATTATACACTACCACCATCATAATTGTCTCTATTATTCTAATGTCACTATCGTCATGGAACCATTGTCACCATCATTGCACCACTACCCATCATTTATCACTACATACAACCACCATCGTTGGTGGTAACAATGGTAGTAGAGGAGGTGGTAACAATAGTTGCATTAGTGATGATAACAACAACAATAATAGTAGTAGTGGTGTGACAGTGATGGTGATAATAGTGATAGTAATATATAATAGCGTAACGACAATAATGAAAGTAGTAATGATATATAACAACGATAATAATAAAGACAATTATGTTAATAACAATATGTGATAATTTTATTTGTAATCTCATAATCTAAACCGTTTATTTTAATTTAAGAATTGATATTGAATATTTTCATTCTAACATAAAAATGACATTCTTATATAATTAATATATATATATATATATATATATATTTATATATGAAGAATATTTTTTTATGGATTAAAGAATTTCAGTAAGGTTTTAACAAATAACATAGAGAATAAAAAATTTCCATTTTAGATTATTGCTTGGTGATCCACTTATAATTTTTTTTATTAAAATCAAATTTACTTTTAGACAATGATATAGTAAATTCCTATGTAAGTTAAATTCTATAATCAATATATATTACTAGAGTTTTGTCGAGATAATTGAGTTACACAAGATACGTCTCATGCATACAATGTACGAGACCTGGGGCTTCCCAAACTAAGTTATCCCCAAGTTTTTACACAAGAAAATTTTCCTTATTTCATATCATACCCATCACAAAAAACTTATGCACATGATGCATGGTAGACTTAATGAATTTACTACACGAATATCACTTATAATTCATGACACTTTATGTTTCATCACTTATCACTTTATAACTCATGACATTTCATGCTTCATCATTTATCACTTTCACTTATTACTTAACACATAATGAGTACCACTTATTTACACAATTCACACAAATACACACATGAAAATCAAGTTCAGAAACAGGATTGTGCCCAACGTGACCTACTTTACACTTGACGCGTACAAGGCTGCAAGTCTTTGGGAGGATCATATTTGGTGTGATTCTCCCAGGGTATATGGAGCTTTTACACTTGATGTGGCTAAGCTTACACCTAACATTAATATTGTTGCAAACATTTCGAGTTTTCCATGCCTAATGTGACCAAGCCCACTCCCAATGCGGTCAAGGCCACAAACAATTCATGCATGGGCCCCATGCCCAACGAGGTCAAGTTATCGATTGACACAATATCAATAAAACTTGATATGCATATTTCACATTTTTTCAAATATAAGGACTTTATGATTTCTATGATTTTTAATTTATTAAGGGATATCTAGAGTCTAATTAATCCATATTTTTAGTCATGCAATTTATGAATATTTCGAATTAACTCTTACCAAGGGTTTAGATACATCCTTAGGGTTCCCTAGGAACTCACAAGTACTCATAGATTCATAATTACGTCTTATACCCAACATACCAATACATGCATATATCATATTCAAAACACCCACTTTTATGACATATTACACTAGGTTTTGGTTTAATCTTCACCCACATACATACATGTATAATCTATGGATTGGGGGTCAATCATGTTATCCAATTGTTACCTTACACTTCAGAACAATGTTCTCACTCCCCTCTTACTTAGATAGATGCTAGCTTCAAGGTTCTGAACTTTGAGCAAATATCCAACCACTACCTTTGATTCACCTCCCTCTTCAAATCATAATGTATGGTCAAATGACTAGTGAGGGAACCCTAGGACAACTAACATATTTTAAACAAAATACTAACCCTCACTTGTACGTGTAGCCCATCAACAATAGCCCAACTTAATCTCACAAAATTTTAAATTTTAAATTTTAAATTTTAAAAATAAAAATTACTCATATTTTATCATATCTCTTAGAAGATATTATCTCTTAATTTATTTTTAAAATGTGAGATGTTACAATTTTTATGTAACATTATTTGATTATCAATATTTTTTTTTATTAATATTACTTCGACTAAAGTTCAAGTATCAATTATTAAATTTTGAATTAGTGCTTTGACATATTCAATATTCAATCATCAATCATATTTTAAAAATTTATAATATTAATAAAGAGGATATCCTCTTTTGATGTCCACATTTTATTAGACAACCTTATCTCAATTATAATACAACTCTCAACCCTCTTTCATTTATATCAATTTCACTTAAAAAGATAAAATAAAACAAAAAAAAATCGTGAACGCAATAGTTAAACTAAAGGTAAAACTATCTTTCTTCCATTTCAACTTCTATATCCCCACATTTACAATTTTATTTTTTTATTTTTAATTTTATTTTTTCATTTTTGTAATATGGTGGTATAGTGGCTATCCCTCTCTAGTATTATATAAAACACATGCACAGACATGCACATACTTTTCATGCTCACCCACACTTGGTAAAATTATTCCTTCTTCCGTTTCAACTTCTACATCCACACATAATTACAATTTTATTTTTTCATTCTTCTTTTTATTTTGTTTTTTATTTTTATTTTTGTAATATGGTCGCATAGTGGCTATCTCTCTTTAGTATTATATAAAACACATGCGCATACTTTTCATGCTCACCCACACGTACGCATACTTATCTCATCCTTTTATAATTTTTTTTAACTAATTTATTTTTTTTCATTTTTATACATGCACGCATACACATATATCAATATATCAATATATCAATATCTGAAAATAATTTAAAAGGTCATGGCTCGCTTGTCTTCGAGAAGATCCACTCATAAGTGAAGAGATTTAAAAAATAATAATAAATAAATAAATAAATAAGTGAAGAGATTGAAATAATCAAATTTTAGATTTTGTGACTTTTGTAAAAATAAATAATAATAAAAAACTTATACATATATGATGGATGATGACCTATTTGTTAAATATATATAAAGGATTTGTCTAAACTCACACTTTATATTGTTAACACTTCTATTACTACATTTGGAGACTAATTTTTGAAAAGAAGAAAAAAAAATATTAAATATCAAAATCCATTAATAAGAGGTCCCTCACCTTTAGGCCCCATGTCATGTACTGCATTATTTGATATTAATATGTTTTGTAATTTGCGAATCAAATGTCTATATGGAAAATACAAATCTGTGTTTTCTGGGTCTTGCATTAAATATACATATTTTGTTTTTAACACCTTCTGCAATGGACTTTGCACCTGTGTGTTTATATCGATCATCTATCCATTACTGGAAAAGCGGTCAAGAAGTCGTAATCCTGCTTGAGTAGGCAACAAAATCTTAATCTATGCAAATCTATATATTTGAGATTTTTTTTATGTGTCAGTGATGAAAATATATTCCTAAAAAGAAATCAGAAGGAGAAAAAAATCTGAAGCTTAATTCATGTTAGGGTTATATATATATACATAGTCACTAAATATAAGATAATAGTTATCTTAAATTCTTAAAAAATAATAAATTATTATTTTTAGTCTTTCATTAATAAAATTGTGTTAATGTGACTTTTTTTTTTTATAAACAAAAAACTAAAAGTAATCACCACATTTTACTCACTTTTTATAAATAGAAACTAAAAAGGAAACAATTTACTTTTGGAAAAACTAAAAATTAACTTTATCCTATTTCTAAATATTAAAAATATATTAAATTCCTTTATTTTATAAGAACTACAAAAAAATTATTATTATGTAAAGGTGCTTAATTTTGAAGTCTAACAAAGTTGATGTTGTTAAAGGTTCAAGTGGTTCATCATAAGGAAATTTATATTAATACATGAAAGGATATTTTTTTTTAAGTAATTATTTTGTACTTCATATTTGATAAATTATTATATTTTTATTATTTAAAAATTAATATTTTTATCAAATATAAAATTTAAATTCAAAATTTTAAAACTTAAAAATCAACTATAATATTAATTAAATTAATATATTTTATTATTTAATTTTTATTTTTATTTTATTTTTAATAAAAATAAAAAATGTCTCGAATGCAGTAATACAAATCCTAGCTGTATCCTAACTTACATAATGGTCGAGATATTAGGACATGCAATGGCCCATTGATGTTAGAGTGGCAATGTCTTAAACTATATTCATGATGAGCTTGTCGAGAATTGTGCCAACAACATAATTAACATATATGAGTTATTAATCATGTCATGCCAACATATATTAGATTACCTGATGATTCAAAATTTCAGTTTCACTATTATATAGCCTAATTAAATATTCTTTTTCATATGTTAACAGCTTAGAGAGCTAGCTGTCTTTGCTTTTCTTTGATGGAAATGTATTGTTATTTTTATCGGTTCAGGCCTAATGTACGACCAACAATATAAAAAAAATTGAAAAATAGATAAATTTTGATTTTTTTATACCACAAAAGATGGAAAAAAACATTAAAGAAATATAATTGTCTTTTGTTTGCTTAAAATAGTCTGATAAATTGTACCAAGCAATTGTTTGATAAATTACACTCCATTTTTTTTTCTTTCACTTTGTGCATATATATATATATAGATTATAAAATATACAGTATGAGTCTTTCGACATTTCTCCTGCTTTGATTCTTTTACATATTTGTTCAAATAATATATTTTACTGTCATCAGGTGTGGTTTAATAAGAGAATAATTTCTTTTCATTGGATCACTTTTACAGAGATAATAAAATAGTATATTCGGTTACAATTATATGTATCAAACTTTGGTCCTTAATTATATGTCAAATTACTTGTACACCACTTTGATTAATTCATTTTCTTTGGCCAGTTATCTGCTTTCCCAATCAATCTTATTTAAACGGTGTTCATCAAACAATAATAAACAAGAATCAAAACAATCAAATTTATGGTCATTTTCTATTTTTATAATCCAATTCACAGACATCTTAAGCTTGTATCTCACTAAATATCATCAAAGTAAAACTCTTATCATGGAAAAGAGCATCAGAAGCAAGCAGATAAAGACATGCATTTAAGTTTCTCGCTTTTCAATTAATTTTAACTTCTGATACCGAAACATGATAGTACCCATTTGGTTTAACACATCATATATCAATACAGAAATTTTATTTTGTTTGTACTCATGAATTGAATAGGGTTCACCGATCATTAAGATAGAATGATCTTGGAACATTGATAGCCGACAATGCTTGCCTCCAAAGCTGTCCATGCATGCTTCTTAATTTGCAGTTTGCAATAGAGAAAAGAGAGACAGGACATTTGTGTAGGAGAAGGAACATCAAACATGCATGTCGATTTTGTAATCAATGTGAACTCTATATATGTCGACAATTTAAATAAGGGTGACTCATATATGTCGACAATTTAATTAGCGGTGGCTCATATGTAGTTGTTATGCAACTTCGAAAGGCAAACCAACAATTTCGCAAAGCCATGCATGGTCCTTCCCTGAATCATATATACATCAATGAGAAGAAAAGTCATTTTCTCTCTTTTTCATTGTGCATCCCAACGTTATTGATCGTGAGAGGGGATATATGACGACATACCGCTCTTATTCCTTAATGTTTTAGTCATTGATCCGAAACCATCTCAAAGGTGTTGTTTCGATAAATTCTAGGTAGTGATTAATTAAAATAAAACTCATTTCAAAATGTCAGCATTCTTAAATTTATGACATTGTAAATATCGCTGCCCGGGACCAATCATTATGGGTACGTGTTCTTTTGTTGTATCATTTTTATAAAATTTTTAAAAATATTTTTATTATACTTCTTCATTTTAACATATAATATAATTTTTTTTACCAGGTCCTGAAAAAGAGAAAGGTAAAAAATTATGCTATAGGTAATTTGATGTTAATTCTTTTTCTAGATCCATATTTTTTTTGATAACTTATTTTTTTATTGTTTTATTTTTATATGTTGTGCAGGTTTATAGTCTTATTATATCGGAGAATGAGTATTTACATTATATTATCTCATCCAATGTGGTGCCTTTTCATATGAAAGGAAATGAAAGAATTAAAGAATGTGAGTTGAGTTTTTTCACGATTAAAATGACCTGCTTTAGAATTAATTTTCATCAAAAATTGAAGTTGATTTAACTTTTTGAGATATAGGTATGAATCATACATTTTTCATAAGTATTTCAAGGACGAAAATAATATATCAAATAAATATTTATAATACTGTCTTTCCATGATGTTAACACAATATATATATATATATATAT